TTTTTTTTTTTTTTTTTTTTTTTCCCTCTCTATTTTTGCCTTTCTCTTCTAAGACTTATGCTCCCTCCTCCTTCGTTTCTCTCCTTCTCTCCTCCTCTCTGCTCCTCTCTCCACCTCTCTGCTCCTCTCTTCACCTCTCTGCTCCTCTCTCCTCCTCTCTCCTCCTCTCTGCTCCTCTCTCCTTCGCTTTCTGACTGATGTATGTTAGCACAAAGGAAAAAGAAAAAAAAAATGGTATGTGTTCCGTACCGGCTGACTCGAGAAAATAACGGGTACGGACAACCACCTTCTGACGGCCTCGTTCTACCACTCGGCAAATGTGAAAAGGACAGATGAATCTTGACACATTCGATTGCAAGATACAATGTATCGCCATTTTGATAAATTGCCAGTGGTGGATCGAGACCCTAAGGCCGATGCGATGTGAACTGCCGTCATTATTCTGTACTACATCTTTGTACCGACTCCCCCCTGTTTCCCGTCGAGTAGACTCGAACAGCTTTTGTGCGCTTTCTTCGCCCTCACCCTTCCTGTCGCCCCCCGTCCCTTCAGGGAAGCTTCAGGGAAGCTTACTGTTGCCAGAAAGGTTGCGGGTGGAGGGGGAAGGCGCGGGAATGCAATGTAGGTAGGACCAGAAGACCAGCGTTCCCATTCGGTGGATGTCTCAAGGGCGATGGTAAAGGTTCCCCCCACTCGATCTGTCTTGAGGTGCATGTTTGTTAGATGTTGTTAGCACTTTCACTTTTCTTCTTCGTCTTCTTTTTCTTCTTCCATGGCTGGGTCAACGAGCTTTCCACTTCTTCTTCTTCTTCGTTGTCTCCTTCTTACATGGCTTGGTCTGCCAGCTTATTTCTTCTTCTTAAGCCTAGGGGGGGATCGGGCAGCTTTCTTCTTGTTCTCCTTCTTCCATGGCCGGGTCATCCAACTTTCTCCTTCTTCTCCTTCTTCTTCTTCTTTGTCGAGCGAGGGATCGCCCAGCTTTGTTGTTCTTGCTGTTCTTCTTCTTCATCTTCTTCTTCTTCCTTCTTCTTCTTCTTCTTCTTCTTCTTTGTCTAGCGAGGGATCGCCCAGCTTTGTAGTTCTTGCTGTTCTTCTTCTTCTTCTTCTTCTTCTTCTTCTTCCATGGATGGATCAGGGAGAAGACCAATGGATTTCCTTCTTCTTCTTCTTCTTCTTCTTCTTCCATGGATGGATCAGCCGGCCTTCTCTTTGGATTTCCGGATTTTGCATTTGACATCTGCTCGTTTTATTCAGGCCGCTGCTCGTATCTTGAAGAGCGGACTGTTCTGGTGGCGGTGTTGTGTGTTTTATTTGTCAAATCCCCCCCTTCTGGGGCAGGCAGTCTCGGGCGGAGGCCGCCACGCCACGCGACGCCACGCCACGCCACGCCACGCCACGCCACGGATGGAGCCTACATCCACGAATTTTATCAGATTTTTATGTCCAAGGAAACGAGCGCGAAACGTCGCCAACGTCGGAACACTTATTCTCACGGCTCCTTTTTGGGGCAGTCGTTGACCTCCTCTACTCCAAGCCTATGTACAGCTTGGACACTGTTAACTGATGGGTTCGAAACAGGGTAGTAGTTGGGATGGGCGCTGGTGGTTTACGACCCTGCTTGGACAATGAGAGCTGCAGAGGAGTTTGACTCCTGGCCGTCTTATTCGGCGTTGGACTCTCTTGCAATTTAATTGAGCTTGAATTTGATGGGGAGCATCGTTTTCCCCAGAGGCAGAGGGTAGTAACTATAGCAGGGCACAAATGGTTAATGATTAAAATGACCCTTTGGTTTTCATATAAATGGCATGGCAAGTGGTCTGAAAATTAGGGTCTCCGTTAACCTTCTCTCGGCTTCATATCAGTTGGTGGTCCTACAAGTAGCAGTGGGGGACCACCAACTTGAACTGCGCCGTGCTCGACCCGGTGAGTGGTTCCATCCTCCATCCCAAATCTGTGCCTGCACTGTACATGGACCTGGTGAGTGTACATGCACTGTACACTCTGCCTCTTGTTCATAGCGTGCAAGTGGGCGTCGTGGCACACGGATGTGGGAAGCTCGTGCTCGGTGATAGAAGTAGCAAAGTCAGTCAAGACCGACAAGCGCCCAACACATAGCTGCACTGCGCAGCAGAAGTATGTGAAAACGATCTCGAAAAAAATCCACAGAAAACAACAATGAAGCACATTCCATAGCTTTTTAGCTATGGCACCTCCGTCATCACGACCGAGGAGCTCGTGCTCAACTACATCAACGTGGTGAACCTTGTACATGAGAGGCTCAGTAAAGGGGGAGGGGGAGCTGCAACAATTAATAAAAGCGAAACCACTAGAAAAGTGGAAGTAAGGAAAGAGAAGAAAGAACTACACCTGGAAAGGGGCAAGAGAAAGGTTTTGGTGTGCTTTATGTTGTCTGCTTTTTTGTCCCGTTTGTTTTGCAATGTGTATTTTTCTAGTTTGTACCAGTACTTTATAGATATGGGACAATGTAAGTTGGGGCAATTGCAAAAATAGCGCGTTCTTGAAGTTTGGCAGCAGAAATGTTATACGGGTCCGAAACATCTATTTTTGCAAGGAAAGTGGGGCCCCGCCAGCAAATATTTTTGCTGTGAAACTACCGGGACCTCTAAAGCTGCAACGAAAGATACATTTTTGCAACGAAACTTGGGCCGCGCCAATATTTTTGCTGCGAAACTTCAACAGGCGCGCTATTTCTGCAATTAACCCATGTAAATATACATATTTTGACCATATATACATATATATCGTCAGGACTGTTTTGATGGGATGGTTCGTGCTAGCCGTCCTGCAGAATGCTGTGCTGGCGCAGCTCTCCTTGGGCATCCTTGTGAACATCCACATCATCCTCACCGTAGCTGTCCTATCTGCCGAGGTGGGGGCAGGTAAAGAGAAAAAGAAGAAAAGAAAAAGAGAAAAAAAGAAAAAAAGAAAAAAGAAAGAAAAAAAGAAAAAAAGAAAAAAGATACGTTGATCTGTGGGATGTGTTATTTGCTTTGTGATAATTGGATTATCTTTCTTTCCCTATCTTTCTTTCCCTATCTTTCTTTCCCTGTCAGGTTTGGTTTCCTCCTCCCCTTCTTTACCTCTTTGCCTTTTGGCTGCGTGCAAGTGGGTCCTTGTGACACACGGGGATGGGGGCAGCCAGCGCTCAACCTGTCATCCACGTGGCTGGCCTTGTACGTAAGAGGTTATGAACAGGTGGAGCTTTCCTTACCTCCTTCCCTTTCCCTTTTTTCCTTTTCCTTTTTTCTTTTCCCTTTTTTGCGCTCTGATTCACAATGTGACAATATATATCGTCAAATAGAACTGCCCGGTCAACCGTAGGCAGAGAGGGAGAAGAGGACAACAAACGAGGGGCTGTGACAAATATATATGTGGTGCTTCATGTGGGACCAGTCATCCGTTTTTTTTTTTAATTGTCTTGGCATCCTGGTTGGTTGTTTCCCGTTGTTCGGCCTTTTGAGCGCGGGGCGGGGCTTGTATGTGGGAACCGTCATCCGGGATGGGTTATTTTTCGTACTTTTTTTGATTTCTTTGCAGTCAAGAATGTTTTGACATCCTGGTTGGTCTTGTCCCGTCGTGTGGCCTGTGGGCAAGGGCGGTGCTTGCATGTGGGACTTGTCATCTGGGATCTGTTTTGTTGCCCCCTGTTCTGTTTTATTTGGCTGTTCCCTTCCTCTCTTCTTTGCCTCTTTGCCTTTTTATTGCTGTGTGCAAGTGGGTCGATATAACACACGGGGGTGGGGGCAGCCGCCGCTCAACCCACATCCACGTGGGCGGCCTTTTACGCAAAAGAGGTTCTTTACGAACAGGGGGAGTTGTAAGGAAGAAGATTAAAAATGAATTCAGTTTTTCTTGTTTCTGTTTTTCGCTTTGGCGCTCTGATATCATGTGACAATATATATGTAATATGTATACACAGGTGTGGAAGAGACTGGCTTCAGAGGAAGAGGTGGATCGGAAACGCAGACGCGGCAATATTCCCAAGGTCGGCACTGTCAATGCCTGTCCGTCTTCCCCTACTGGTGGTGAGCGACGGTTCCTCCAATCGAAGCGCTGCAGGGTGAACGAAAGCGATTGGCCACGGTTCAATTCCCTCTTGGCTCGCCGTTCTTCTGTGCCATTTCTGACTACACAAGTGGTATCGGTTGTTCCAAACCGACATAATCAGGGAGCTCGATCTGTGCGATGTTCACAGAAAACGGCTGGTTCTGGTTTGCCAGAGGTTTGTTGTGGCGTTGCACTGCAGAGTGATGGAGATTGCTGTCGCGATGGAATGAAGCAGGCGTCATGTTGTGACGACCCGCTTGTCCTTTGCGGTGCAGATGTGGAGAAAGTGAGAGGGGAGATTTGGAGCGTTAATGGTGCGGGTTTAGGAGAAGTGCAACGGCTCTCAAGCGGGAATGTCGGCAAAACTTTCGAGAGGAGGGGAGGAGTTGTGCAACGACTCTCAAGTGCAGGTAAAGCTTGCGAGAGTAGGGGAGGAGTCGTGTGTGTCAATGACACGGATTTGGGAGAGAGGCAAGGGGTTTACAGGGTCTCGAGTACTAGTGATGGAGACTTGGGAGAGAGGGTGGGAGTGCCAAGTGTTAGTGGTTGCAATCTGAACGAGAGACCGGAGGTCCAAAGTGTCAGTGGTGCCGGTTTTCGTGAGAGACCGCAGGTCCGAAGTGTCAGTAGTGTGGGGTTTGTTCAGAGACCAAAGGTGCCAATTGGTAGTTGGGCAGGTGTAGAAGAGAGGCCAGAGGTCCCAAGGTTCAGTGGTGCAGGTTTAGAAGCGAGACCGGAGGTCCAAAGCGTCAATGGTGGCTCCAGTGAGAGACTGCAGGTCCACAGTGTCAGTCGTGCCGGTCTTATTGAGAGACCAGGGGTACCAATTGTTAGTGATGCAGGTTTAGAAGAGAGACCAGAGGTCCCAAGTGTCAGTGATGCAGGTTTGGAATTGAGACCAGAAGCGGTCCCGAGTTTCAGCAGTGCCGCAGGCTCCAATGAGAAACTACAGGTCCAAAGTGTCACTCGCGCTGGTCTTCATGAGGGACCAGAGGTCCCATTTGTAAGTGGTGCAGGTCTAGAAGAGGGACCGGAGGTCCCAAGTGTGAGCTGTGCAGGTTTAGAAGAGAGACCAGAGGTCCCAAGTGTCAGTGATGCAGGTTTGGGAACGAGAGACCAGGTTTCAAATGTCGATCGTGAAGGTCCGGCAAAGCAGCAACGCGATTTGAGTGGCAGAATTAGTGCAGATGTACAAGACAGAGAAGTGCTGAGTTCCAATAGAGGAGACTCGAAAGAGAGAGCGGTCCCACCTACCCCAGTGGAGCTTGCTGATCTGGGCCCACGAGGGGTGGTGAAGCCAGAGGAGGATGGTTTAAACGGAAGCTTGCTCGCCAAAGAACGCATTGGGAGGGAAGGAAGGGAAGTGGATGGAAGGAACCTACACCTCTCTTCGCCATGTCATCAAGATGATGGTGCCGCTTATGCCCGCATCCCGTCTGCAAATGACGGCGCTCTGCCACCAGACAAGGTTGTCGCTGAAAGGATAAGTGGATGCTTGACTGCTGAATCTGGTCCTCCTTGTAACAAATATCCATCGTTCCCTCACAGGCAGACTGTACTGGGTTTCCATGAGGAGATTGGTGGCGGAGCCAATGATATTGCTGGTAGCTTGTCTCGCTCCGTTGGCGAAACTTACGGGACGCCTCCGGTGTTGTTGTGTTGCAATTTGCTTCCTTCAATGGGAAGCGAGGACAATGTCAGCTCGGGGGAGTTGCTGCGTCCGCTGTCAACGCCTCCCGTTTTTTCTTCGGACAATTTTCAAGAGAATGATGGTATCGTTGGCGATGACGAGGAGAGTATAGGCGGGTGGAAGGCGGATCCGCCTGCCTCATATGATGAATATGCGTATTGGCGGCGATAGTTGGTACAGTGACACGTCTGTGAGAGGTAGGATGTCAAGTTGTGTTGAAGAGATGGCTGCAGAGTAGCTTGCGTTAGAGGGGGATGACACTTTGACTTAGGGCGTACTCACACTACCGCTATCGTAAATGCACCTGACCGCATTTACGGCCCGACTCGTATGCAATTCCGTTCATAAATAAGCGAGAAAAAGTTGCTAGTGTATGAGTATGCCCTTATTTTGTCAATCTTTCAGTAGTAGGAGGATATGGTCGGCAGAGGTGCCGATCACGGTTGTCGGATGGCTGGCTAGCGCTCACTATGTAAATACAAAATGGATTGACCTCCGTGCGGGATGCGATTGGCAGAGCTCCATGCTATGGTCATGAGATCCATCGCTGGTTCATTGTTATACGACTATAGTCAACAGGAGCTGCTCCATATCCATCGATGGTCTTCCACCGATGGCAGTGGGTGGGCTTAATTGCAGAAACCAATCAGGTAACCTTGACCATTCTAATAATACTTACCTTGTGCCGCCGTGCATAACCCTGTACTATTATCTTGCATGTATTTGACGAGGATAAAGCGTGTATACATTCATAATGATAGGGAGTTTATGGTCCGGGGAATAAAGCAGTCATTCTATTTGGGGGGAAGATATTAGTATCGGCGCTTGTTGGTGACCACCAGACCTGTTGCAGCCCATTGTTGTTGACATCAGTGACCCTAATGTAGGACAAGTGGAATCGAGCTCAACTCATTCCTACCCTTGAAACGAGCGAAGAGTGTGAGAAAAGCTCAGATCTTCAAACGATGCGAGTCATGTTGAGAAAGAGAGAGAGAGAGAGAGAGAGAGAGAGAGAGAGAGAGAGAGAGAGAGAGAGAGAGAGAGAGAGAGAGAGAGGCCCGAAGACACACGACTCACGATATCTCAAACGCGACTGGATAGGGTTAATTTTGAAAAAACGTGTGAAGTACCATCCCATCCACAGCCTATCTTCGTCGAAATGCAACTAAACCCAGCAGGCGGTAGGACAAGACCCTGTGAGATGGAGTCTAGGCAATTTAATAGAGCTACACAAAAGGAATGAATAGACAATTTAATCGAGCTACACAAAAGGAATGAATAGAGGCTGTGAGTGACACAACAATACTGGCTTAACCCGTATAGAAGGTGCTGTCATTTTCCCTGCATCTGGACTGAAAGTTGGGCAAATACGGATATAATGACTGTCCATTTTATTCAGGGGAAGACGGTAGTCTACATTAAAGTAACCGAGGGTAGGTTTTCAAGTTGGGAGAAACTTTGAGCACATACCATTTCCAACCCCCCAAAAAAAGAAAAAAAAAAAGTCCAACTACTATCTACGGTGGATAGAATTGGGCACTATTCATAAGATGATTGCCACATCATCATTGAAATTCTTTCCGCCATCAAGAATCCAGTCATTCGCACTCAATGAGACTCACATGAGATCATGCAACAAGGTCCGAATGACTGGATTTGTTTTTGTTTTGTCTCTAAAGATGAGTCATTCGGGTCCGAATCTGATTTTTTCAACAGAATGAAATCTGCTCGTCTTCCGCATTTGTGTTTTTGTTTTGTCTCTAAAGCATTTATTATTTCCCCAGTTCCCACGATCTCCAATGGTAATAAATTGGAACCAGATTACAAAGAAAGCATTTGATTGGTCTGACGAAGGGATTGTCTCAGGGACACATAAAAAAGGCAGAACATCAGAAGGAAGACAATTGGCTCTATGTTGCCCAATCAATAAGGGGGAATCGTCATGCAGTTAATCTGCGACAACAGGAATAATAACCAATGTTTTTGGAGGAAGTTTGTTGCAGTCAAGCCACGGAGTACATAGGTTATCCGGCACACAATCACAAGCGATTGGAACGGACGTAAACAACGAGCGATTGGAGCAGTCGAGTGCTGGGACGAGACAATAATGACCACAGCCCTAGGAAACACCAAACAGCAATCTCTGTGTTACAGGATGTATCAATGGGACGCTAGACCCGGCTTCCAGCAGGTGCTGCTCCCCACCAATGGATGGCGCAGCCGGACAGATAAGCCCTCAATTCTGGCGGTTCTCCTACCACCGCCAGGATAGAGGGATATCACCTCCAGCAGAAAATGGGTTGATGGGACATGGGGAAGGGATTCTAGCCTTGCAAGAGTGGACTCTGCAGACAGGCTTCATTTTTGTCCTTGGTTGTTATCCCCACTGGGGTTAGGGTTTAGGGTTTAGGGTTTTAGCCACCCACCGTAGAGGAGTTTTTGGTGTCTGGAGGCCTTTCTAAAAGTTGTGTGCAATTGGAGAGGTTGTGTCTTGGGGAGATGCCCAACATTTGTTTCTAATTTAGGAAACTTGTATTCATGGGACACTGGACCCGGTTCCCAGGAGCCTAAGCTGGGTATTGTCCCCATTACTTTCGTCGGGTTGTTTGTGAGGGATTCTTGGCCCTCCCTTCCCGTTTATAATATATGTTCCAATGGTCCCCCCCCTGCCCCACGCAAAAAAAAAAGAAGTATTTGAATTATCTCCTCATGGTTGGTCTTCTGTTGTCTTAAAAATTTAAAACCACGAGGAGATAATTCAAATACTTTATATATATATCGTCACAAATAGAACTGCCCGGTAACACACGAGGACAGAGAGGGAGAAGAGGACAACAAACGAGGGGCTGTGACAAACTGTTTCGTTGGAGTTTCACCGACTCATATATTTCCTGTTTTCCTTCTTTCTTTCTTTCTTTTTCCTTTTTTTTCGCTTGTGCGCTCTGATATGCTTGTGACGATTTATATATGATGCTTAACCACAGCTGGGGTTAAGGTGGATTATCACTTACAGTGTAATCAATTAGGGGATTCTGCAGACTGTTGAGGGTTCAGCCTCCTGATGAGTCGGTGAAACTCCGACGAAGCAGTTTGCCACAGCCCCTCGTTTGTTGTCCTCTTCTCTCTCTGTGCCTACGGTTCACCGGGCAGTTCTGTTTGTGACGATCCAGAGCTGTTCAGCCACTCTGATGCAGGCATTAATGTGCTGCGCCCTTCGGGGCTCAGCCTACCGGACAGAAATGGCTGGCAGGAAGCGTCGGAGTAGTTACTGGTGGTTCCATGCACGTGTGCACGATACGTCTGCAGACTGGATAAAACCAATTACACAGTGTTTTATGAGAAGAGGCAGGATTGCAATGGTAACACACTGGTTTGCAAAACCGTCGGTTAAGTGTTTGAGAATGCCTTTCGCCAGGTGGCAGCCTTTGTGCATTTGTGTCTAGGATTGACAATAAAAATCAGCACAAATCCAGGAAAGCAGTACAAATCCAGGAAAGTACTGGTGTGAGAGGATGCACTTGTGTCTGGCAATGATAGCAAACATGTTAAATTGTGCACCAGCCATCCCACGGGCATAACACCTGTGTGTGTGTGTGTGTGTGTGTGTGTGTGTGTGTGTGTGTGTGTGTGTGTGTGTGTGTGTGTGGATTGTCTCTTGTGTGTGTGTGTGTGTGTGTGGATTGTCCCTCGCAACGCTGTGGATGCATGACGTTGCATCGTTGGCGCTTGCTAGGTTGAGTTATTGGCTTTGTGGGAGCCCCATGAGCCTGTACACACACACCGCCTTATGAGTCATTGCACGTCCAACGAAACTTCATGTCACAGTCATCCTTTGTTTGTGAACTGGAAAAGCAGAGAGAGAGAGAGAGAGAGAGAGAGAGAGAGAGAGAGAGAGAGAGAGAGAGAGAGAGAGAGAGAGAGAGAGAGAGAGAGAGAGAGAGATGTCGCAGTTGGCATCGTGAGGAGCGCACATCGGCGAAGGGTTGAAAAGAGAGGAGGAGAGGCAGGATTTCAGGAGTGGGACTTGTGAGCCCCAGGCCAGGGAAAGTCTGAAATAACAGGACACTGCATCGCAAGGAACTGGTAATGAGAGTGTCATGAGAATACAATCCATCGTCAAGTTGACCGCAATTACGGGGAACTCCTTTTCTAGAGAGAAAGTCTAGCAGCTCTACCCTTCTGCTGGCCCAAGCGAGCATGGAAAATCCCCTTCCTGCCCGGCAGTCGTGAACCAAGACACCGCTTCCACTCTTGGCTTTGCCAACAAGAGTTTGCATTCTGAACTAAAAACAATACAGGACAGACATTTTCGTACACCCATGACCTGGTGAGATACAGAGCAGAGTTCGGATCTAAAAGATGCAACCAGATGAATAGGAGGATCAAATAATTGTTAGAGAAAGAAGCAAAGAGAGGAAACAACTTCCGTTGTCCTTGGGGCATCTGTTAAAACTGGAACGATACAGAGAAAGAGAAGATTAGCATGGCCCCTGTGCTTTGAAGGACGACACGACGTCCGTTGTGTGCGATTCACAATAGTTTATCAAAATGCCATCAAGAGAGGAAGCCAGCCCCATCATTTACATCGTCATCCACCTCTCTGTATCCTGTACCTCAGAATCTGGTCGTCAACCTGAGAATCCATCCGTGAGATATTTACAACTGTCTGCGCAGTTGGGCATCCCGTAGTCCTTTTGCAGCGAGTGTCATCCTCCTACCGTCTGCAGCCGTGTAATAGGCCCGGTCATTATTATAGGCGTATTTGGGCAGTTGTCAGTCTAGATACAGCGGCAATTACTGAACGTTCTACTGGGGTGAAGCTGGTAGCCAATCACTGTGCGACACCCAGTCACAGCGTACACCTCAGCAGCCTGACAAGAGGGTTGTGGACTGGTACAAGCAGGGGAGGGGGGRGGGGGGGGGGGGGGSGTGCACGCTTCCGACAACTGACCATAGGGCTGGAGAACGAACAATGAGCATCAATCTCAGCGCGAAAAATAGAGCGAACTCTCCATGCACTGAATTTGATATCACGTCGTGAAACCAATTGCAGGGCTGACCGGAGGAGAGGCAGAAAGATCATGGTGGGTCGAGGCATGGGAAGGGGGGAGGAGGAGAGAATAGAAATCATCCAAGGCACCATACATCGAGCGCTGGAAGCATATCACACATTGCCACCGACCTTCCAGCGAAAACTCAAAAAGTCGGCCCATACAATTTCCTGAACTTGAAAACTTCCCAAAAACTCGTTGCCATATATAAGAGGACTACTAATTGTGAAACGAATTCGAAAAAGGCAGCCAGGATTGTGGTAACTCGGCATACACATAGCCTGCAATGTTAGCACTTTCAGGGTATACTCACACTAGGATTTTTTTTTTTACTCAGCTGTGGACGTTATTGCGGTCAGATTCATCAACCTTGGGCCGTAATTGCGGGCAGATACATTTAGTAAAGCGCCCGTATGGGCTTCAAATTCCTTAAATGCCAATTCTGCATTGCTAACCTTCTGATGTTGTCAACCATTGACGTATGTTCCCAAGCAAGCCTCTGAAAGACGCACGCAAAAAAAAAGTCTCATTTGTGTAGAGGTGATTCCGTATTTTCTGTATTGGTGTTCTGCACGCAGTGGACACGGGAGTATGCCTGAGAAGGACGCCCTGGACAGAAAACGGTATCTGGATTGTATTCACGACCAGATTAGCTGCCACGAATGCACAGTTCAATTTGTGAATTTAGCTGTAACAGCCA